GAGGGGGATGACGCCATGCCCATGGTGAAGGAGGATGACGCCATGCCCGTGGTGAAGGAGGATGATGCCGTGCTCATGGTGAATCAAGATGAAGCTTCGGTGGATCCTTTTGGAGATAGAGACGACTAGGCCATTGGCATCATGAGTAATGCTTTCTTGAAGATCAGGCATGTGCTACAGAACACCGGTCTGGGCATCCTCAACCCGCCTCGGGAGGAAAAGGTGAGCAGTTACATCTTCATTTTTCACCAACTCGCCGATGTCCTGGAAGAACTGCCAGCCTACCTGAACAAGAATCACGTGGACAACGCGGAGTATATCGTCGCCTGCTACCAGAGCCGTATAGATGGCTTCGACACTAGCATCGCGACACAGGGAATCAGCACTGCCCATAACACCAAGAAGCACTGGCGCAACCTGGTTCATGCCGATGCTGAGCAAGTGGCCAACCGCATCAACGCTGACGAGGACGACGACGACATTGATACCAACGAGGAGGACGAGGATGAGGACAGTGATACTGATGACGAGTAGAGGAGTAAATAAAGTTCCATTTTATGTATGTCACATTGCATTTGATGTACCTCACGTTGCATTTGATGTATCTTCCTTATGTTGGGAGTACGGAGGGAGTACATGTTACTCTTTCCTTATGTTGTTACTCTTCCTTATGTATCTTCCCTTGCATTTTATGTCAGACGCGTTCAAATGTACAGAGGTTTTGATTTGTGAAGTCTTATTTGCATGTCTGTGTTTAGTATATTGTTGAACATTGTATTAATTAGGTGGGTTAAACTCTATTGAGCATGGTGTAGATCAGGTCCTTTGGTCATTTGGTAGCTGGTTTCTAGCCGCCGTTGGTTGGTTTTGCCTGTAGGTTTCTTTATGGTTCTCTTTCTGATCTATAGTTATGGTAAACATGCATAACGGAATTCATCCGATAAAGTCTCGCGTTAATGTAATGCCTAACGGAGGAGCCACATAGCTATTCAAATTTTACAGCACACGCAAGAAAGTCAAGCATCGTAAATCTGACCGAGCCGAACACATCTCACGTTATACAAGGAAATCTGTTTCATACGAATACATTCGTTGAATTCCTAAAGAAACAAATAAAATTTAGAATCTTTGAGAGAAGGGGGACGCTCCTCCCATATAGACCTTGTGCAATTGCCGAGAGTGAAGTGAATGCGCAGGAAAGCTAGACACAAGAAGTGCATCTTAGAAGAAAAGCTTTTGACCACCATGACACGCTTGAGACTTAAAAGGTGGTGTGGCTGTGAAGAGGACTCACAGCAGTCGAGGGGCAGCCAGGCAGTCAGCTAGCTAGAGATGGCTATACAATGGGAGTGAGGCTCCGCTTTGTACACACAGGGATGCCAAGGCTAGAACAGGCTTCTGACATGACCGCACAAGGTTCATCATTACTAGTATCTGAGTAGTGAATATTTTAGATGGTTGGACCTTCTGTCATCCGACGAAGTATACAGTGCGCTCCAATCCAAGCAGTCGTAGGCTCGCAGCAACCGAGGGGCAGCAGCTAGCTAGAGATGGCTACATGGTTTCATAGGTTCTAATCGACTGCACTCCCTGGGCTGTGGTTGACGCTGCCGCTTTATTAGGCGCCCGTAGGTTTTAGAAAAAGTCTATATTATTAGGTGTATCCTAGAAACAAGGCTGCAATTAACTCCCGATGGAAGCCGAGCTCGTCTCTGGTTCGTTCTAATTAAAGGCTGCATGCATACATGTATGGAAGCCAGGGAGATAGCTCCAATAGAGGCTTGGACATGATATTTTTAATTAATGCAATTTCACAGTCTTCCTCCGCTCCTTGGTATCTGAAATTTCATCCTGTGGCCTAACAAACCAGCCCGGAGGTAGTATGAACAAATGTACTCAATTTGCTACAACTTTCAAATGTACAGACGACACTATATACTGTCCTACGAGATGAAATGTACAGCGGGCGGACTTTCTTACGTGTGTAGTAAAAAATGTGAACAAAAAGAAACATGCAAATCAGAAAGAGAACTAGAAAACTCCACATTTCCACGTAATCTGACCGTCTAGTCCCCCCGGTCGCCCGCCCACCCGGTAATCTGAACCGTGTTGTCGTTGGAATTCTCACGCCATTTCACAGAGGGTATTTCAAACTCCTACAGCAACCCCCGCTCGGCCACCTCCCTCGCCCCCTCCCTAATCAACATAAGTCGATCATGCCGCCCTCTCCAGTGCTCCATCTTGCCGCCGTCCACATGTCGTAGCTCCATCCACGCACGCACCGTAGCTCCATCCACATCCACGCCGCCGCGCGAGCCCTCGGTTGGCCTCCTCGAGCTTCGCATCGCGCGACGTCGATGCCGGCAATCATGGCGGCGAGGCGGCACCCCACGTCATGTTTGCTGGTGCTCCCTGATGAGCTGGCCATTGAGATCATCGGCCACCTCGCTGTGACCTCGGAGTGGCACATGGACGACCTCCATAGACTACGGGCGACCTGCTCATCCATGCACCGCATCTGCTGCAACCCTACCGTTGGTCGGCGCGTGGCACTGGACCAGTGTAGACGTGGGCTGGGGTGGGACGATGTCGGCAACTACTACGCCCTCCTTTCTAGCCTGACCCAACTTGGCAACCCGAAGGCTTGCTTCCTCACTAGGATACCAATGGTATTCGAGGAAACCCATAGGCCCCGGTCATGCCTCGACGATCTCGCCCGCGCCGCCGATGGCGGGCACAATCTGGCGCCCTATCTGGTCACCATATTGCTCTATAGGCACAATGGCGATGCCCGCAACGACGACAGTGCGAGGCGGTACATTAGACGGGTCGAGGGTGAGGAAGAATCGTGGGCGGCGGCGGCGGGCGGCGGTAGTGGACTAATGAGTAGGTGGCTACGCGACAAGGGGTGCGTGTTGTGCCGCCGCGAGGCGGCCGCTGAGGTGACCCGCGAAACGAGGTGGGCCTTGGGAAAGTTGTCGCTGTCGCCACCAGCACAGGTGCGCGACAATCTTCCATGCGCAGGCGACGCTTGCGGCGATGCAGACGGATGGGAAGGAAGGGTTGTGTATTGCAGCCAGGACTGTAGGCTTCGCCGTGAATTTGAGTTGTTCGCATGGGAACTTGGAATAAGAAACTAGTAGTTCACTCTTTACATGCGAGTGAATTACTCCCTCCATACTGAAATATATTGTATTCTGGCTTCAATAGTACTTTTCAGCGAACGCACAGTGTTTTCCTCTCACAACAAATCAGCATTTGGCTTATGCTGATTTGTTGTGAGAGAAAAACACTATGCGTTCGCTGAAAAGTACTGCTGAAGTAGTTCGAGCTCTTCAAATATAGTGTATTCTGCAGCTTTTGATTTCATGTTGTTTTGTTTTAATTTTATTTGTTTCCTTTAGGGATTCAACGAAAGTACTCGTACGAAACATGTATCCCTGTATAACGTGAGATGTGTCCGGCCCGGTCAGATTTATTATGCTCGGACTTTCTTGCGTGGGCAGTAAAATTTGAATAGCTATGTGGCTTCTTTAGGCATTAGATCGACGCGAGACTTGATCGGATGAATTCCGTTATGCATGTTTACCATACTACAGATCAGAAAGAGAACCAGAAAGAAAGCTGCAAGCAAAACCAACCAACAGGGGCTAAAAACCGGCTACCAAATGACCAAACGATCTGATCTACACCATACTCAACAGAGTTTAACCCCCTAATACAAAGTTGAACAAAAGTAAACACGGACATGTATAGGGCCAAAAAAGACACCCCTGTCCCTCAATACTGCAGCAGCAGCAAAGATCCTAGGCAATTAATATGAGTGTTCTGGTTTTTTTAACTATTTTAGTCTCTTTTAGTCACCTAAACCAATCACCCTAGGATCTTTGTTGTTAAACTTTAATCATATGTTCCCTTGTTCTGGGAGTCATTAGCAGAGTAAATAAAGTTCCATTTGATGTTATGTTACGTTTCATTTGATGTATCTTCCTTATGTTGGGAGTTGAAAGTTTCTTACGTGTCAGACGCGTCCAAACGAGGAAAAAACTATGGAGGATACTATCGAACGCGACTAAATATACAGAGGTCAGACTTTCTTACGTGTGCAATAACATTTCGCTACACAGCTCTGTATTAGACTGAGATGAGACTTGCTCCTCGCTGTAAGGTTCTTACATGTTCAACAAACATCGACAAAACCACGAAGGCAACCAAAAAAAAAACAGAAACGCTACAAGAGATGTAACCTTCCGTGACAATTCATTTAGGTCACAAACACAGGGTTTTACGTCACCATAACACGCTCTGCGACGATACAGTGACGAAATACCTACTGTCACCGAAGGTGCATGTTAAAGCACCTACCATGACGGACAAGAGTAAATCGTCATTGCATTGGTGACAACAATATTTTTGTCACCAACAATAATGACGATCATTATTGTCATTAGAACCGTCATGAAATCTCAACTTGACAACTGCCATGTGTGCAATAATCTCAACCACACATCCAGCTCATTGAATTCAACAAATGACACCATACATTGATTCATAACAAATTTCATGGTCAACATCCATTCAACAACATTTTAGAAGCAATAATCTCAACCATGCATCCAGCTCATTCATACATCCATCTCAGTCACATAACACCTTAAAGTGTGAAATAGTTTGCAAGCTAAAGCAATCCTAAGTTCATAGTTTGTACTGCAGCAGCCACAAGCACACCAAATGCTACAGAGTTCACCAAAGACTCTGTCCAGCCCAAATTCTAGGGATAGATACAAAAGGCATAATTTAACCCTGGATGCATGGATGCATACCTAGATGACAAGGATGCTCACTAAGTTTAGGGAGGAGTGACTTGACCCTGATTGAAGTTAATCAGCTGTCGAAGGAGCGCATGAGTTTCTTGCTGTCCCTTCTTCAAACTGTCAATTTCCCATGTGCTTGGCTAGCTTAAGTTGTGCAGATTCTTGCTCCTTAGCCTCAAGTTGAGCCTATAGCTCCCACACCTGTGAACTAACTGCACTTCTACTACTTGGCTTGGAGGTTGACAGCCCCACATTTTGAAGAAATGTGCTTGACTGCGGCACCACCTTCGCAACAATTTCAATAGAAGACATCAGCTGCTGGCCTTCTTGCATTGGTTCAGCCTCAATTGCTTCGATAGCAGCCTAGCAACAGAATGATACAACAATTAAATTTGGTACAGATTTCTTTTTTTATCTTGAATTTGGTACAGATTTCTAGCAGTATAGGAAAAACAGCATACAATAATACTTTACAGAGACTTGGAAAATGACCTTACTTGAGCCAAAATAGCCTCAAACGTCATTTCAAGCATGTACAAAGTTAAATTCAAACAAGAGCTAAAAGCAATATATAAAGGAAAAGACGGTATACTTGCAATATATCATATTTGAATTTAGAAGACTACATTCACCCAACTGGGAAATGAATAATGGAACAAAGTAGTCACGCAATAAGTACATCATAACGCTTGCAACCTCATTTCTGACAACAGCAAAAACAGCCCACAACCATTTCAAATTATGAAGTAAAGGCAACAGTGTCCATGCTTAACTAAGAAGAGGAGACAATATTCAAGTTGACTTTCAAGTATGTGTTGTAGAAGAGGGAAAAAATACTTACAGTTGCATTTTGGACAGGCTCACAAAAACCACTCTTCTTGCTGCAATGCATCTCCTTGAACAAATCAATTGCAATGGGCTGTGTCTTTATATTTTTCTTGCATCTGAAATGATGAGAAATCAACTTAAACTTGTTAGCTTGAACTAATTTCATGGTTTCTCATTTCAACTAATGTGCAGCAGACTTAAATTCAACTAGTGTGCAGAAGACTTAAATTCAACTAATGTGCTATTACTCAATTTTTGGCATACAGGAGGCAAAGTAGGGTCACTTCAGAAAAGGAAAAGAAGCTTTCTTTCACTAGGTTGCAACTTCTAAAATGAACAGAAACTGCTAGATCACAAACGAGATAATCCAAACAACCCTAAACTTCTAGCAGGAATACATGGAGTCGACTACAACCTTTCTATTGGTCATTAGCATTCAAAACATGGATGTTGCAAAATTTAAAACAACCAATATGTCATACCTTGTGTTTTGGTTTGGACCACATCTCCACTAATGAAAGTGCCAATATGTTGGACATTCTTGTTACGCACATCCCCATCCCCACCTTAGAAGCCTAGTATGAAGCAAACAACAAGAATTAGACCCAAAAATAATGAAAGTGCAGTCACCAAAATGATAATTTAATGATCAATAACCATCCTTTGTACCTTGCTAACTTCATCTTTGTCAACTTGGTTAGAGCCCTCATTGTCCTCAGGATTGTACAGAGATCCTGATTTTTCAGGAACATCATCCTTGTCCCTTGCACTTGTACCCTTACCTGTTGCACCATAAGCACCGATACCAAGGCTTTCGAAGACTTGATTGTTCCTCATAATATTTTGAGCCCTCTCACTTTCACATTCAAGTGCCATTGCTTCTGTACATTCAATTAAAACAACTATAAGGGAGTAGTCATAGCAAAAAATAAAAATGTATGCTGCTGCTAGCAAAATAGATGTGTATGCTGCTAGCAAAAGATATATGCTGCTGCTGCTACTAGCAAAAAGTGTATGCTGCTGCTGCTAGCAAAAAGTTAGCGACAAGTATATGCTGCTGCTAGCAAAATAAAAATGGTATAATGTAGCGATGCAGGGAGTAGTTCTGTAAATTCAGTTATGCAATGTAGTTATGTAAATTCAGTTCTGCAATAGAGCTTATATAGAACATGAATGTAAATTAGTTTTGCAATTTAGCTTGGTAAATCAATTATACAGTTTCAGTACATAAAACTCAGGAAAGGGAGGCATTATCACCTTCTAAAATTGCTAACTTTATCTCAAACAACAGTCATAGGACAGAAAATCCCCCCTAAGACAACACAAAATTACTTCTGTACTTGAATACATCACACAACCTGATACGCGGTACATCAGGTGAGATTTTTTCAGTTAGTACTACCCAAGAGCTTGCAGTCGCTAAAAAGTAGTATGCAACATCCAAACTTAACTATCAGGCTTTTGATTATTATCACACCAAAAATCACCTGGCTGTGGGTCATGAACTCATGATTCCAGATCACAGAACCACCTAGCATCAAAATTAAATTGAGTAACTAGAAATCAGACAAACATGGCTTTTGGGCACCTAATCCACGCACGGCCGTCGCCCACTCGCTGCCGCTGGACGCGGACTCGCCCTGCGAGTTCTGGGCTGGCTGCCCTGGGGGAGCGGCGAGCGCGCGTGGCTGTTTGCCGCCCCGCACCCCTCGCGCCTCAGGCAGCGGGAGTCTGCACCCCACGACGCGCACAGGAACCAAAATCCCTTCACCCCAAACCCTAAGTTCGAACAGCAGGACACTAAAAACCAAATCCTTTGGCCCCCCTCAGATCCACTCGTTGCTCCCTTTCATGGTGTTCAAGCTTGAGGAATTACCTATGGGCGTCTGTGTCCTGGCAGTCTGCGCCTTCCTCCCAAGAGGCATCTTGGATTTGGAGCGGAACTCGTCAACCAGGACTAGGAAGGAAGAGGGGGCAACCGGGAGAGGGTCTGGTGGCGGCTGCAAGGGAGCAGGATGGTGGCGCTGGCTTTGGCAAAGAACAGGGGCTGCGGAGGGGGAGGGGGTGGTGGCGCCGGCACTGGAAAGGAAGAGGGTGGCGGCTGGAGGCGCACGGGGAACGGGGAAGGAGGAAATGAGACCCGGATGTGTAGGGTTCCACTTCTGCGATATTACTGTAATACCCTTGATTTAAGTCCAAGAAAGACTTGTGACAGTGGACAAGTGGCAATTGGCCCAAAAGAGATGGCGGGGAGCTGGGAGGCTGGCGCGGCAATTGTTGCTGGGGTGACGAAATTTTTCGGCTGGTGGCATTTTTTTTGCTGCAATTGTTGGCGGGGAGACCGGGCACAGATTCACAGCTTTTTTTAAAGCATATTAGGGAGTGTAAATAAGATTTATTACTCTTTACTCTTATCAAGCCGGGCGATTTTGGCCCATGCTAAGGGTGTCCACGTTAGTGGAAAAATTTTACATCGTCCGATCGTCTTTCCACGGTCCAAATTTATCCCACCGTTTTTACAGTATAACCGCTCAGCTGATTTGGATAAAAAAAAAGCAAAGACAAAAACTCCCACGTCCTCTCCACCGAAGCCTCAAGGGCCACATCCTCACGCCGTTTTCTGCCCTAGCGTCCACCGCGCTGCCCTCTGTCGTCGCCTCCGCCGCCCGTCAAGGCCGCCATCGCGAAGCTCTGCGTCCGCCTCTCCGCCCCCCAGAGCAGCACGTAGGCCTATGCGGACGGCCCCGGCGCCGCCGCCACGTCGACCTAGGGTTTCGACGTGGAACCGGCCCCAGCCCTGGCTCAGCCGACGTGTCGGCGCGGGTAGTCGCGCTCCGCGGCCGGCTCACCGTGCGGCGTGCTGCCGGGCCGGCGGCGCCCCCGGTTTGCTGCGCCCTTGCTTCGGCGCCTCCCTGCGCCGCCCCCATCGCCCCTCCGCCCCTGCTGAGCGCCTCTTCCTGGACATGGCCTAATCGACGACTACATAACCAGGTAGCCGCATCAATTCCTGATTTATCGGTCCATACTAAATTAGCTTCAACATCTTATATCTTCTAATATTTATTTTGGGATAAAATAAATGCTGATAGTATTTCGCTCCGTCAAAATTTTACCTTCCTGTATTCTATGGTTGTTGCCCCAAGGTAAGCCCCTGCTCTCTGAGGTGGTATAGAACATGGAGGACAGGAACCTAGGCAAGTTCAATTCGTGAGGTCTTACTGACCAACCATATTTGATTATTTTGTTTTTAAATTATTCTTGACACATGCATATTTGCCTTGTTGGCTTATTGTCTTTTTAGATCTATGATTCAGTGTGCTTTGAATTGACACATGCATATATCCTGTGCCAGCTTTTTGTTTTTTTTAATGATTTAGTGTGCTTTGCATGGAGAAACATTGATGTTGTCGCATCACCTAAAAACACTTACCGGTTTCCCTCTTTTTTGGTGTAGCGGAGTAATAACTCAAGAATAAGATACTAGGCCATTGATATTTGGCAAGTTCATCCTAAAGCAAATTTCTCGATCAGTTTAGGGAGTAAGTTATGTCATGTTGTTCTCGCATCGATTAAAACTCTTATCAATTTCCTTCTACTTTTGGTGTAGTGGAGTAAAATTGAGTACCCAAGAATAAGATACTCAGCCATCATCAATATAAGTATTGTGCATCCCTTCTTAATTTAAAGAATTGCTGGCAACTAACTTTCATATGGACTCAGTTCTGTCAGATTGTTCTACAATAGATATCCTATTTAGATCAATACGTTTTATGGTTCGAATTTTGATACCTATATTATCTAATTAGATGTACCTAATATTGGAGATCTTTCCTATAATTGTGGTGCCTTAATTAACATGTTCGCTAAGAAAATTGATTTTCCATGAGATTAAATTTGAAGCATTATATTGATTTCCTAATTTAGTCCAGAACACGCAAAAAAATTGGGGACCATCAAAGCAAGGTGTCCCAATTTATTATGGGAGTTGGGAATTCTCTTATGTTACCTGCTTGATCCAATGATGTTGTTTACACCACACCATTGTATATTCTGGTACCTACATTCGCTAATTACTTCTGCCTGTTATTGGAGATTTTTTGTTCAGTTAAACTTCCTGCTCATCCAGTTAACTGCTGGGCTAACAAACATGGTGTTGGATCTTGTTTACCTCAATCCACTGTCTATTTTGATTGCTACATTCGCTAATTAGTTTTTCGTATTATTGGACATTAGTTAAACTTCCTACTCATCTGGTTAATTGTTGAGCTGAGCTTAAAACCCATGGTGTCGTGTAACGTTGGCTGGATTGAACCACTTTGTCTTCATCCCTCAGTATAACCCATTTTGGGAGTAACACTAGGCTAATATTGGGTGTTTAGTTAGTTGCTAATTTAAATTAGTTGGCACTGTTGTCCTTACCTTCTTCTGCTTCTGGTTCTGCTGAAATGCATTAATCATTAGGTTGTACTCCAAATTGGCTATAACACCCTCGGTGTTACACCCTAAACAAACCACTAAATCATGACATGAGCATCATGTTTATGTGATAAAGCATGTGATAAAGTGTGTAGATCGATTTCTTATAACCTAAAATGACTAATAAAAATGTTAAATAAAAGTTGATTCAATAGCTCATGTATATCAAGTATGGTTGAAAACTAATTTTTATTAAGCAAAAGCATTATAGAACATGTGTGTGAGACTTAAATAAAGTTTGGAGTATGGACTTTGTAGATGACAATGAAATCCTTGCTATTGAAAAATAACTTCGCTAGCTAATGCTTCTAATGGCCTAGAAATGCAACTTAGAATAAAGTTCAGCTCAAAGACTTAGAATATTTTCAAGTTTATAGACAACAAGACAATGTCATGTTTAGTAATTTATTTTGTGAAATCGAGTTAAGGGATGGTGTCTAGTTTTAGCTCGGGTTGGTAGCCTCACATGCCATCTTGAGCATGGTGAAGACGGTTTAGATCCAGAAGCAACCGTTTAGTTATTATAAGCGCTTTAAAATTCGTGCAAGATGTGATTTTGGGCTAGTTCATCGGGTGAGCGCAGTCACCACGTCTCGGGCGCGACGTCGCCACGCCGGCTCGCTCTGCACGCGCACGCGCACTGCCGCGCGTGGCCGACTGCGACTACCTTGTCCTAGCGCAGCCGCCTACCTCGCCGCCCTATCGCCCTACCAACACGCCTCGTGCTGCGACACAGCCGTGCCGTTGCCTCACCGTTACGTCCGTGCCTCCCTCTGCACCCCTACCCGCTGCTGGCCCGGTTTGGTGCTCGCCGCTGCAGCGCGCACGTGGTGGAGCTCACCGTCGCCTTGCCATTTATGGCACTACGGTCGCGCGGGCCATGCCGGCCAATGGACGCATGTGCTTGTCCGATTGCGTCCGCGCGTGTGACGCCCTGATCGCGCCGATCACATCCTGCCAAGGTGAGGCTGTGATGAGCCCACCTGCCAGCCCATCTCCCTCTTTCTCTCTACTGACCACCGTCGAGCCATGCCACCAAATTACCCATCAATTGATCGCCTCCATTCAATTCATCGCATCCACAACTTCACCATCATGTCCTGTCGCTGCCCGACCCCACCCAGCCATGAAGAAGGCACTACCAAGCTCCAATTTGGAGCTTTTCCTCGCCACTATGCCATTAAGGCCGTGCTCGGCCATGGTCGAGGGCAGCCCTCCTACCGCCCATCCCGAACCAATTCACTTACACCACTAGCTTCGCCTTGACTCCCTCTCACCCTATGTGCCTTAGCCAAACCGTTACCGCCTCCTCGTCGTCGCTGACGCGACAGTGCGCACATGGCTAGCCTTTCTTCGTCACCCTCTTCTCCACCCACCATCTTGGCTAGGTCCACGATAGTCTCCTGATGCTCACTCGCTAGCCAGTTAGGTCCTTAGGTGCTCTGGTTCACCGGGGCAGTCGCGCCATAGTCACAGATGGCCGTGTGCCGGCGCAGCTAACTCCAGCGTGTCCCGCCGCCTCGCGTTGCTGCTCAGCATAGGCGGTGGGACCATAGTTGAATGTTGGCCTGACCGACAAGCTAGTGCGGGTCTCTAGTGGCCAGCGTGGCCACCCCATGCCACCGCTCGCCGCGCCCGACGGGCATGGGTTAGTCGAGGGTGCGCGTGGGGGAATTCTAGGGAAGCCAGGGGTTAAGTGAGAAGGTCTGAGAGAGGAGAAAATAGTGTTAATATTTAGTTGTAAATTAGGAGGAGTTTGAGGTCTCTTTTGCAAAATCACCAAAGACGCTGCTGGCTTTCCCAGTCACGGGCCATCTCCACAGGCCGGGTCCGCGTGGGCCAGATTCTGCTGGTCGCCACGCCGAGCGTCGTCTGTTGGTCACGCTGGTCACAAGTGTGTAGGCCATGGGGAGATTCACTTTTCATTTTTTTCTAAGGAATTAGAAATGGTTTTCTAATTTAATTTTTGAGCTAATCTTTGGTAATTAATATAAAATCATGTAGGTGTCCAAAAATTATGAAACAAAATTTGTTAGGTTTCTAAAGTTGTGATCTATCTGTTGGTGTATTTAGTTCATACTTATATGTGTTGATATTAGGAGTTATTAAATCGTTTGAGAATGCTTAATAATATTAAGTTAATTATTTTAGGAATTTTTGTGGTAAATTGGTGATAGCTTTAGTTCTAAAATTTTTATGGTAGCTTCATTGTATTATTATGTGCTCATTGTGATTTTTGTAGCCTTAGAATAGACTAAGCATTAGGGTAGTTAAATGCTCTTTGTTTCAATATACATTAAATCACTAGTAGAAATAAAGATATATCCTTAATTTGCCAAGCTAAGGGTTTGTTAGTTGAACCTAACACTTTGCTTGATGAAGATGATAGCTAGCTTAGTATCTTAGTTATTAGAGCTAGCTTAGTAGCTTGGTGTGCGTATTCTTATTTTAAGAGTTGTTGTTGCTTAAATGCTAAATGGTTGCATCATCATCGTATGCATGTAGAGAACAAGTTGGTAGAGATAGTGACCACAGACGATCGCGAGTTCGAGGAGATCGTTGAGAAATACGAGGAGCAGGTCCTCATGAGGGAGGTCTTGGAGCCACCACCGACTGACTCGGCTGACACCGCGCCTACCCAAGGCAAGCCCGGTGCATAACCCTTATTTTTTATAATCACTATATGTATATATGTGATGTGCATTTAGGTTACATGAATTTTATGGAAACCACATGCATAGATATATATGTCCTATGAGTCTTATTAGTGCAGGCTCGAGTAGCTGCTATGCTTAGGTTTTTGGTAGCGTGAGTAACCTACCGTTACTCACAATAGGTGATTATTATAATGATAAAAATGATGAAAGGAAATTGGAGACCGGGCAGGGATATGGTATGGGTATTGGTGGGTGTAACGAGTTGTGTCCCACGGCCATGGGGCTTAACTTGGTTACACTATTTTCCCTGTCCATGTTGATTGAGGACCGTCCGTTGCTGTGGATGGTAGTCATCACAGACTTATTATCCTAAGCACATACTTGCTTATGGGAGCAGGAAGGCTCGTTACGCTCTTGTTGTGGGTTGCGGCTCTTTCTGGACCGACTGATTGGAGGTAGGGAAAGGTGTAGGTCTAAGCACCATATTAAGACCAGGTCTCAAGTGTGGGGGATTGGAGTCTAAGTTTGGACGGGGACCTAGACCCACAGGAGTGGAATGGGTTGGTCTTGTTTGTGCCTGGGGCACAAACGGGGCGTGTGTTTCGGGGTATCCAGCTGGGATACATTAGTTCATGAATCGCCGATTCCGTGAGACAGTACAACTTGGCTATGGTCTAGCACCGTAGTAAGAATTGGAATATGAAAGATGGTAAATTGGTTCTGATTGCTCAACCCTTGCTTAAAAGTAGAACATGTGCTTACCTAGAATGGTTAGCTAATAATATAATCATGAC